AGAGAGAGAGAGAGAGAGAGAGAGAGAGAGAGAGATCCATGGTGGCGGCGTCCGCGGCAGGTCATCGTGGAAGGGGGTATGCAGGGGTGGGGGTTGGAAGGGGGGCATAGAAGGGGGAAAGGGGAGGTAGGAGGCGGTGGAAGATGGGGGGTCGAACACCCTGTCCAAGCGGTGTGCCCATCGGACTCACCGCGTGTAGCTGTCGCCCATGCCTGAGGTGACAGAGAGATAGACGCCTGTCGTCTAAGTCCAACCTCGAAAGACATAGACAATGGCGACAGCCATCGTTTTATGTCTGTCTGTCTTCAGAGAGAGAGGGAGAGAGAGAGAGCAACCGTTCATTACAGATATGCATGTCGTCGCGACATGCATATGTCTATGTCTACCACGATGTGACGATCCCGCAAAATGTCAACCAACCGCGACATGCGCCGCGACGTGCCATGTGTGTACTCAAACGCGCACGATGACCCGGTACCGTCGCCGCGTCTCGCTGTGTACTGCCCGTAGTGGAGAAGTGACGTGGCTTGCACAAAACGACCGCGTCGTATCAGCCGCGGTAAACCGTAGGCACGAAAAAACAATAATAATAGAAACAAAAAAAACATTGCACAAGGAAAGTGGAAACAATCCGATAAGTGATGCAAAACACTTGGCCAAATAACAAAAGCGAAAAAAATACGAAAATAATTGAATAAAATAATATAAAAGAAAATAATACAACCAACTTCATTCCTCAAAAAATGTTTTCTTTTTCATTTCTTATTTCTTTTCGGTTGTCCGGATCCATGAACACGGACATCGTGCAGGACGACGTCGTTCCTTACCACCGGGCCTACCGGGTCCCACATTCGAAACGGCACATTGGGATGGGACTCGGTAGGCCGCGAAAAACCTGTCGTCCGATCCAAAAACAGCGACCGCGCACTGCAGGTCGTCTGAGGGTTTTCGGCGGCGAGGGGACCTGTGGTTTAACTGCCGCTGGTGTAAGCTTGTTAACTTGTGCTCGTGGCAGCAATTGGTGCTGGGGTACCAAGGAACGCTTAGGTTCCCGCAACACACCTGCTATGCGAGCGCCCTTCCGGCAAGCGTCCCAGTCCTGGTACCTCAGCGCCCTACACCATCCGTCAGTGAGGGGACCGACAGATCCGACGGACGAGATTCACCCTGACTGGTCGGGGCTTCGGCGCTTGCCTCTTCCTTGTCCCCTATGAAAGGGAGTCTCTTTTGATGCGGTCTGGGCTTAGCCTTTTTATTGACGCTTGGCGGACCGAAGTCTTTTGTGGGATTGCCCTTGTTAAAGAGGGGCAAATTTTCAGTGTCATCCGTGTCTTTTGTCTTCTTTCTGGAAATTTTGCCTTTACCCCCTTCGCAATTTTGCACCTTCGGAGGTAGCCCCGGGATTGGAACGAGAACCCCAGTTTTGCCCTGGCAGTAAAATTCCCCTGCCCAAAATCATCGGGCATGCCCCACCCACTCTGATCAGCACTCCCAAGGGTACAGGACGATGTGCGGGGCATGTGGTTGTGTATCATAGATCGCCTGGCCGTCCACTCGCCCACGGTGCCCTGGCATGTTAATAGTCCGGGGCTGCATAGCACGGCAAATGTGTTTGCCCCCCTCCATGTTCACGCAAACGTGTTCGCGCGCTCGTGCAAACAGCTCGCGAACGTGTTCGGGCACACATTTGTTTTTCCATTAAAAAATAATAATAATAATCTTCTTTTTTTCGGTTTTCTATTTTTAATTCGCGTTTGGCTAGGAATTTGAACATGACTCCGAGCAAAAGTTGCTTGTGTTGTTGTTTTACAAGACATACTTTTTTTTCAGATTTTTCTGAACCTTTTTTTTTTTTTTTGGTATGTTCATGTTCAGACGGTTTTGAGCGCTCGTTCGCATTCGGGTGAACATGTTCGAGTTCGCCTCCAAACGCAAACACGATGCTACGCAGGTCCGGGGATTTCTTTTTTTTTCCTTTTTGGGTTGGTGGGGTTTTTTGCACCCACCGAAAGCAACACAATCCGGGCTTCGAGGGGTTTAAAGAGGGGTGCCTTAGTTCGATTCTCTTTCATTTTCTTCTTTATCTTCGACTCAGTAATGACTTCTGAGGTGCCCCTCAGCAAAAAGTTGTTCCCATCACAATTCTACACAACATAGTTCTTTTCCAGATCGTTATATTTTTATTTTCTTTTGGTGCCCTTTTCTTTTTTTTTAAATGTGCTGGGGCTGCCTGGGCTATCTCGATTTCCTGCTCCTGTCCTCAAACACGTCCAGATTCAAGCATTCAATCCGATGCTCTTTGCTAATGGGACCACGGCCCAGTGGACAGTGGCTTCAACCCGCGAACTCGGGTCTGGATTTCGAAAGTTCGCGAGGGGCACTTGCCCCTTGTCTCACCGGATCTGGCGTTGGTGGGAACTGCACTGGAAAGGGATGGGAGGCCCCGCGGATCTGGAATGGGACCTAGGTTGGGCCCTCACAGGTAAACTCCCACCCACCCTTTCGCCCCGTAAGGGATGGGGCTACAGTGGCACTGAGGGCAGTGGCCATTTGGTGGATTTGGAAAGAAAGAAATTCTGTTTTGTACCAAAAAAGGTACTTTTCAGATGATACTTTGAAACAGGGGATGAAATCAATGGTGAGAAGGATGATTATCGTGGGTTGGAACAGAAAGGTGTTGAATACGTCAGGCCCGGCTAGAGCTCGGGCAAGACTGTGGTTCCTTCGTGCCTGGGCAAAACGCAACAGACTGGCAGCAGTTTCAGCTGCAAGCGGGAAACTGGTTCTTTCAGATTGGTTGTCTAAGGTTTGATACAGTGTCCCAAAATAGATGGGTATAAGGGGGGCGATGCAGTAATTGGTCACTCAGTATGGCAAGGCTCGCGTAAGAAATAGCTCCAGCCCTTAGGATCCATATTAGGATCCATCTGGTTGGGTATACATAGAGTGGTCGTCCGAGTCCAGGTGAGCGCGTAGTAGCGCTTTCAAAGATAGGTGGAAACAGGTTGCAGGGAAACCAGCCGATTGGCTGTAAGCGAAACCGGCTGATGCTGCCGGGATAACTCCGGGTTGAATTGTGAGGTCCCCGGCCTCATTTGATTTCGGAAGAATCTCCACGATATTGGCCACCACGCGAGTTTTTTTTTTTTTTTTTTTTTTTTTTT